GACTTCCGCTGCTGAGAAACCCGGAAATGTGAAAAGGGTCCATTAGCTCACGACGTAAAGAATCGCCGAATCTGTTTCTTTGAACCGATTCTTTGAAACGATGCGTTCAAAAGAATCGATTCGGGGGCATTAATCGCTCACTTCATTGCAATCTTTCTCTGTTCGTCAGATCTAGAGCAACTGCAGCCAGCCTTGTGGGACCTGATGATGGCCTAATTAATGATGAATTGCCATTCTAAAACATACAGGGCGTTAGACTGTGTGAAAATGTTTCGTTCCTGTTTAAAAAGTAAGGTTTAAGTGCTGTAATTCCACACTAGAACTGTGCTTCTCAGCCTCCAAATTATGTAGTCAAACATGTCCTTCTCACCTTGTGTTTCTGAATAAGTGTTGAGTTACTGCAGAGGTTTTAAGGCTGAATGTGCTGAAATGAAAACTAGTGAGACACATGCACATGGGTGTTGTCTGTTTCTTGGATCCAAAGTCCAATTACTATCTGCTATTGTTTTTGTTCATATTAAGTTTATTGTGGATAATAAAATCTCCTGGAATTTATAATAAAGACTGATCATTGACTCCTGGAGGTTTCGTTTACAGTATTAGGAAAAGTTTCTAGGTCTCCAAGCCACCAAAGTATGTTTAATAAAAAGTTTCCAAGGTCACATTCTTTCGATTCATTCATGGCGGTCTGAATCCTCTTAGTGTTTTGGGCGCATTGGCCAAACGACTGACCTTCATAAACAGTTTGGCTTATGAACCACAGGAAACAGATGCTCAGTCATCACAATGTGTTAAAAATGGCGAGGCATGTGGATTTCCGGGTTTTGTTTGGAAATGTTGTAGGCAGTGGATTGTGTTGCAATCGGATCAGCCACTCATTATCATATCATTGTTTAAAGAAGTCAATTAAACTATTAAGGTAATCATGATCACTTTCTGTATTGGCCTTAATATTTTATATGTTATGGAGAATTACAATTTGTCAGAATAGTCAAATGTTCATCTGATTCTTTTCACAACGGTGTACTGAATCAGATCAACTTATTGCATAAACTTTTTTGTCAAGCCCACTCAACAATAAGTGATATTAATTTTTTTCCTTTTTGATTATACTTGCAGTTGCTAAAGGAAAAGATCAATGGAGTTGAAGGAACAAAACTGGATGAGGAATTCCTCATCATGGAAAGGGTATAAATATCAATCTTAGCAAAATAAAGAAAAAAGTTTTGAAATTCAAGATCTCAATGAATCAAAATATCTTTTTCGTTTTTCTATTTTATTGATTGTTTTATTGTAGAAAACTGATATTACCCACAAACTGATTCTCGACCTTGTTCCAAAAACTATAGGATATCTTCAGCCAAACCCAGGTTTTTATTCATTTAATACAATTTAGTTATTATAATATTTATTATACAATATATATTATAGTATTATATATTATAACATTTATTAAAATATATTTTTTAAGGTTTAGTTAATGTGATTTTGCTGTTGTTGTTGTTATATTTCATTGATTCTCTTTTGCTTTTTTGTTCTTCAAGCATACAGAGCAAAACTCAGCATGCTCAATACAGTGTCCAAAATTCGTGGGCAGGTGAAGGCTGTGGGCTATCCTCAGACAGAGGGCATTCTAGGAGACTGCATGCAGCGCTATGGCAATGAGCTTGGAGCTGAGTCTGGTTTTGGTATGGTTGAGACAAATTAAACATTTATTTTTACTGCTTTAAAAATGTCAAAATACAAGTTCTGAGTTTTGCTACAATTGTAGGTTTTGCTCTGTTTGAAATGGGAGAGGCTTTGAAACAAGTAGCCCAGGCAAAAGACTGCATGGATGTCCGAGTGAAACGAACCTTCATTGATCCTCTGCAGTCCCTGCAGCACAGAGAGCTGAAGGAAATTGCGGTCAGTCTGTATGTTGTAAATGGGCATGGTATCATTTTGATGATAAAATCAGATTTACTAATGTTCAGATTACCTGTCATTTTGTAGATGCATTGTAAGATGCATGCAATGCAAATAGAATGCATTTTGTTGTGAATGAAGGAATAAACATAGCTTTTCTTCTTTTCTTGGTTATCAGTATCATCTGAGAAAACTTGAAGGTCGCCGTCTAGATTTTGATTACAAGAAAAGGCGTAAAGGAAAGATTGCCGACTCTGAAATTAAGAAAGCATTTGAAAAGTTTGAAGAATCCAAAGAACTGGCTGAGAGAAGCATGTGTAATCTCCTAGAGAGAGATGTAAGTTAGTGTGTATGTGTGTATATATAATTGTATTATTTGTTTAGTTTTTTTCCAGACATACATTTTTGATTGTTTGACATTTTTGTTTTAGGTACAACGGATGCAACACCTCTCAGGTCTTTTAGAAGCAGTAATGGACTACCACCGCCAGTCATCCCAGATTCTAGAAAATCTCAGGAGTAGTTTGCAGAGCAGGTTAGAATCATAATTTCTGCTGTACTTATTTCCTATTCTTACCTTGGTTTCATTTAATGTGCCTGCTTATTTTTCACTGTATATAGGATAGCAGACGCAAGCAATCAACCCAAAAGGGAATTTGCATCTAAATCAGTTGCGAGCACAGTGTGCTACACGGATACTTATGGATTTTCCACATGCTCATCCGGTCAGTCATCAGTTGTGATATTAAGTCGTTCGATTACATTAAACAGAAACTGTTCACAAAGAGTTTCTGAATGCTCTGCTAGCTGAAATGCTGTATTATGTACCACAGATACTGAGATTACCGAAGCTTTGAGTGAAAAATGTAAGTCATTTTAAATGTGATACACAAACTCTCAGCTATTTTATTAGGTAGCTGGAAGTACCCCAGCTTGCTTTGCTACTAATGTCTTTCAATCTCTCTTTACCAGATGCAACGGTTGTGGTTCACCCTCCTGACAAAGTCACCATTAAAGCTCCAACAACAGACAAGCCAACCAGCAACAGTGAGTTTAAAAAATAATAATAATAATTTAATTCTACAAGGATGCTTTAAATTAGACAAAAGTGACAGTAAAGATTTCTGTCTGAATAAAACGCTGTTCTTTTGAACTTTATATTCATCAAAGAATCCTGAAA